GTGTATTTCCCTCGTGTCTAAGTGATTCTGATGGTTCAAAGCTGCAAAAAGAAATTAAAAAATCCTTACACATTTCACATCAACACTATTTCAGCCACTTTAAATCAAATCGAGGTTGTCATGGTTTAAATACCAGAACCAGCATGCGAAGACGAGATTAAATGTCAGGGGGGGACATGATTTGAAAGCTTAAGCCAGGTGGGACAAAGACTGCAAAATGGACACTAGCTGCTGAGGAAAACTGAGCTGCTCTCATCATGGAGGAGGAAGGGACGTGTTTTTAATCCTTGAATATTTGGGCCTTTTTCGGGAGACTGAGCTGATAAATCAACATCTCTGATCTATATCTATATCCGGTGTATAACAGTAGTTACTGTTATACACCGGATTCTTATAAATGCTTGTGAGATCAGGTTGAATCATTTAGAAAAAATTGATCATGCAGAAGAGAAAAAAGCAACATTTTTATATAACATAAAGCACTGAAGATTGCCTTTTGAAAAATATTTAACATAATGATAGAAACTATGCAGAAAAACAATCCATTCATCCATCTTAATCAGCACATTGTCAGTAATTGTGTTGTTTTTTTAATCCTACTTCAATCATGACTAAGAGTTGTTAGTTTCTGTGCTGGACGATGACATCATCAAGCTTGCCACTAAACCTGTCACCTAAAAGAGATTGACGTCCTACAGGAGCTGGATTGATCCAGAGCTAAGTGCTGCTGCAGCTATAGTCAGGCTCATTTAATCAGTATTGGGTGGCTTCCTGCAGACCGATGGCTAATCCTCAGCTGATCCAAGAGCATCTAAACACCTTCCTGCTTAAAGACAGTTACGGAGAAACCTGCTGACACGACCAGCAGAGGCGTCTTCAGCTCCACGACACAGTGGAAACTTTCAGAGAGCATGAAACATACTGGAGTTTCAGTTAAGTTCTGCACTAAAGTACAATGTTGTCTTGTACTCTACTACATCTCAGAGGGAAATATTATACTTTTTACTCCACAAAATGTATTTGACAACTTCAGTTACTAGTTGCTTTCCATATTCAGATACAAAATATAATAAACAAATAAATGTATTCATAATTATAGGATCAGATAAGACTATTGAAACTCTTCTTCTTCTTTATAAAGTAATGAAATTAGCTCCACCTGTACCAGTTGCACCATTAATGTGAGGTACACATTAATGCATCAATTAATTATAATCCAATAATATAATACACAAATGGACCATGAGAACTTTTGGTACTTTATAATACTTTTACTTAACGGACCAGTGTGTAGGATTTAGCGCATGGCAGTTCAACATGGCAGACTCCACGGAAGGATCTGTAAATACAAACGTCTCATTCTAACGATTCCTATATTCAGGTGATTATACACTAATGAAAACATACCTAAAAATATTATATTCCATTTGTCCTATTAGATCCTCTTAAATGTTTCACACTGAACCTTTCAGTAACATTTTGAATGCAGGACATTTTGTATCTCCACACTGTGATATTGCCACTCAAAGAGCTGAGTACTTCATCCACCAGGTACTAGTAGCAGTTGAACGCCGCACATCATAAAACGATAACAATTCTCACACTGTGTGACCTCTACAAGCCTAAACACTCACATGAGATAAATAAGCGAGCTAGCATTAGCAACACCTCTTCACCTTCCATAGTATGTCCTTGCACTGCCAGCCGTGAAGCATCCCTCTTCTTCTACTGTTCTATTGTACTCTTTAAACACAGTTATAAAAAAAAGTACCATGAAGAGTCAATACTTCTTAATCAAGGGGTCAACCCCGCCCTCGGTTGGACATTAGTGAGCATTGCTATTTTGCAGATCAAAGGTCAGACAGATTGAAATTTGCACAGATTAAACAAGGCGAGATCTACGAATTTGCAACAGTAAGCAGATGCATCTCGTTCCCCTCCTTATTAGGACAAATAGGTAGTGGAGGATAGTCATTAAGTACATTTACTTAAGTACTGTATTTAATGACAATAGTGAGGTACTTCTGCTTTAATCTCCATTTTATGCTACTTTCTTCACTTCAAACATGATCACTTTATAAAAGACGATGCCTCCTCTACCTCGACCATCTACAATACCAGTAAAATATAGCCTTGGCCTACATATTAACACATTAAAATAATAATCCAGTAATATAACACACAATCCAGCATAATGAGTACTTTTAACTTTGGTACATTTTGTTGGCTATATTTCTGTTACTTGAGTAAATGATTGATTGATGATTCTCTTTCTCATTCTCTGTTAGAAAGAAAAACTCCAAACTGTGACAGACTGAGAGGGTAGAAGAAGATTTTCACAGATCTAAAATGTTCTACTGAACATGAAAATTTTTTTCACACCCAAAATCACAACTAGGACCAGAACTAGGAAGCTAAATCTAAATTAGAGAAACCAGCAGGACTCTAAAGAATCAAATATTTAGATTAAATTAAAAATCTTTAAGACAATATAGATGAGGACCGTAAAACTCTAACCACTCGAGCCAAGAGACTTGTAAAACTCAAAATCAATTTAATTTTGGAGGGTTATATTGCTGTTGTTTAAGTGAAGTCAGCAGCCATTTGACCTCTGACTCTTCTGGCAAGCAGCTGGTGTGTATATCTTCCCCTCACTGTCTGCTGTCCTGATCTCTCTTATTACGCTCCACAAATGTAAAATAGTCAGTGTTTTTTATGCCAAAATGTTAAAAATATTCAGTGTTACAGACCTGATTTCTCATGGGTGGAAAAGTGGGACATTAAAACTGGACCACTGAAACACAAATTGGTCAAATTAATTTACAAAAAACCTTCATCCACATCCGACAGTTCACCTGACGTGTCATTTATCACTATATTACCAGACAGCCTCATCAACAAACAATGCACTGAAACAGAGAAGATGTCTCCTCACTAATGCAGCAGTGCTTGTATGCAGCTGCTGTCCCGCTTCCAGGTTGCCTGAGACGGCATTTTTTTCCTCCAATCACGTGCCTCCATTTTCTAGGAAGCGTGGGGATGCAGATGAGAGGAGGGTAAGCTAAAAATAGCATTTTATTTTTTCTTTTTTATTCTTCACAGCGAACAGAAAGCAGAGAGGGGAGCAGCCAGGATGTGGGAGATGTTTTTGTGGGTTGCTTGAGTCTGCAGGTGAATCCAGGACATTCTGGATTAAAAACAGCTTCATGTCTGTTTATAAACCGGTTTATATTTATTGAATTAATATCTTTCTTTTATTTGACACAATTCTTCCCTGTTTTTATATACCTATCACGTATATTTGAGCATTTTTATGATCAAAAAACCTACAAGAATTTCCCCTTTCAGAGATCTTTTTGCTTTGTACGTAAAAGCCTTCGAAGCAGATGGGACAGCCGCTCTTTAAAGTATGAAATGTCTTAATTAGAGCCGTAGTCAGACAAGAAAAGTCCCAGAAACACTGACAGACTAATATCTGAAATGTAATAAAAATATAATGACCCAAGCATATGAATCTGAGCTTTGCTGCTAGCAGTGTTTGTCACAGGCAACGTGGATGTGTGTTTTCCCAGGAGACACAATCGATGCGTCAGTGTTGCCTTCAGTAACTTCACTGTCAGCAGAGGAAGTGCAGACTGTCGGCTCACATTCAGACTCATTCAAACACATGAAAACATTGCAGGTTAAAACCGAAAAACTGCAGCACAAGAATCACTCCCAGAAGACTTTATAGTCTAATCTTTGTGTTGTTGTATTGTACCATTATATTGATTAATTCTGATAAAGAAACTGCTGACTGACTCTTAAATCAACTATTACATCATTATACAGCTTTGAAAATAGTAGGTGAAGCCAAAACATCCTCTGACAGTCTCTCTCTTTAACACACAAACTTACTTTCATCTATAGACTCAATTGTAAATCACTGGATAAGAAAATGTTTCTATCCATTCATAAAGCCGACATTTTAAAGGACCAGTCTCTATGATTTTAGTGGCATCTAGTGGTGAAGTTGCAGATTGCAACCATCTGAATACAACTCAGCCTCCCAAGCATGTCGAAGAAACTACTAACTAACTGACCCTTATCTACACTGGACCTTTCAGAAACTGGAGCATTTATATGTTAAGCTACAACTATTTATATTGGGCTTACCCAGTATACATATATGTATATGAAAGTCCTATAGTAAGTCCAATTATATACAGTTTCTGTGTTTATTTTCTTTAAAATTCATTTTTTTCTGTTTTCTGGGATGGGCTGCAATATGGGAAGCGCGCGCGCGCGCACACACACACGCACACAGGTACACACACACGCCAATGCATTATCCAAGACCTGATTGGTTTAGGACTGAATGTTTTATCATACCACAGGAACACAACAGTCTGGCACACTGCTCAATGTTTAATGAATTACATTCTAATAATATGATAAGCATCCAAACATCCGGACTGATAGTGAGTCAGTGGTACTACAGTGGTGACCTTATAGCTTGTTTCATGGTAATAATCTATACAATATAACACAATTACTGATGTTTGTACGTATGCGTGTCAAAAAATAACATATATGATTCCTGTCGTCTGGTTTTCTCTATGAATGGATTTTAAGTGTTTGAATTTAAATCCATTGTTTCTTCCTCAGACACATTTAGACACATTTTTCCTCATTTAAACCATCGGACGGACGGTGTGAAACGCCTTTTCCTGCAGGACAGGCCCTGAGTCAATCCAGAGATCCACTGAACCAACCTTCACATCCATCCACACACACCAACACTAATGAATGTGCATTTTAGGCATGCGATGACGGTTTTAAGGTTTTCACAATGAGAACAGCTGTTCTAGAGCAGGCATCTTATGTCAAAGGCTCTTTAATTTGAAATCCTTTTCTTGATATTTAAACACAAACGCTCACAAACATTGGATATTAAACGCAGTATATTTAAACATAAGATGTGTGTCTGTGTAATAGATTAATAAAGACAGAAATCCCACCTTTATAGATTTCTATCCGGCTGCTATCCACCGCGTCCAGCAACCCGCAGAAACACCACCGCTGTCAAGTTAGAAAGGTTGTGTAATGTAACATCCGGTTGGGAATTCCAGAATAAAGGTCCAATCCAATCCAATCCACTTATAACACGAATTTCAACCAAACACCAAAGGTTTTCCCAAGTGCGCCAACAAAAAGATATACACGAATAAATAGATACTGGCACAGCAATAGTGGGTCGTTAAATAAAAGGCAATAAAATAAAATAATAGAAATAAAAAATAGTGAGTCTTTTATATAACAGAGAAATTGCCTGGGCCCGCAACAGGTAAAATTGCATGTAATCCTTCCCTCTGTGTCGCGAAAAGAGTGGTTTTAAGAAGAGTTTTAAAAATGAGACCCCAGAGAGGTGGACTGTCCTAATGTGCCAGTGGCAATCCATTCCAAAGTTTTGAGCTGCAACGCGCTCGTCTCTGAGATAGCCTAGCTTTAGCACTGTCAGGAGCTAGACCCCCGGTAAGCTGACCCTGAGAGATGGACTGGGAAGTGAGGGGTGCCAGCAGCTCAGCAGAGGTAAAGTGGCGGACAAAGGCCATTCAAGCTTAAAATAAATTTAATACAAATAATTTTAAAATGATCCTAAGTGGACGGGCAGCCCCAGTGGAGTGAGCTAAAATAGGTGAAATTGCTTATACTTGCATGTCCAGTTTAAAAGCGTGAAGCAGCATATTTGTACCAGTTTTGAAGACCCCGAGCAATTGAGGACCACTAACCCCCCAATAAATAAAGTGCATTAAGTAATACGCAGCCGAGTGGTCACAAAGGGCGTGGATTACTGTCTCAAAGTGCTGTCTCCTGAAGGACTGGTTTGATCTTTGCCAGCTGCCTTAACTGGAAAAAGCTAGATTTCACTACAGCTTTTATCTGCTGTCAAGTTCAAGGTCTGAGTCTACTTTTACCCCAAGATTTTTTACAATTGGTTTGGCAGTATTGGTAGACGACTCGTCCTAGTTCCCTACCTACGGCGTAACAC